TAATGTAGTAATGTAGCCTTTTTGGGGGGGAGGATGTTCCAATCTTTGGGTTCCTGTAGGGGGTCTGGGTAGACTCCTAAACCCTGAACCCTAAACCCTAAGCCCCTAAACCCTGAACCTTAAACCCTAAACCCTCAACCCTAAACCCTAAAACCCTCAACCCTAAACCCTCAACCCTAAACCCTAAGCCCCTAAACCCTAAGCCCCCTCTCAGCACCTAAAGGACCTGCGGGATGAGGATATGTTTACAGCTCTTATGCGCGCAGCTCAATCTGGCCACGCGGAGATCGTGGCCCAGTTGCTGGCAAAGGGTGCCCGCAAAGACTTCCGGGATAAAAACATGACAGCCCTTATGCTTGCAGTTGCTGGATCAATGTTAGGGATCCCTTATACTATGTTTTTTTGGGATATGGGATGCCTTATATTTATGTAAAAGCGATTCTTCTCTCCTTCCTGGGCTACTGTGGGCTAAGGTTAGTGGTGGCCACAAAAATATTGTACAAATGTTGCTGGATGCGGGTGCAGAGAAAGACGTCGGCGACTACTGTTCAAGGACGCCTCTAATGTACGCTGCTGGCAATGGCCGCAAGGAGTCGAGGGTAGGTTTGAAAATGATTTTCCTGAATCCCAAAATTATCCTTATGAAGCCATGAAAATGTAACTTTTGTTACCTTTTGATCCCTATATAATCCGTATAAAGCCATCAAAATTTGATTTGTGTAGGGCCCTTATACAATCCTTTTAGAGCCGTGAAAATTCGATGTTTATAAGCCCACCCCAATACCAACCCCTAAACCCTAAACCCTAAACCCTAAGGAGATCGTGCAGCTCCTCCTACAAGCTCGAGCTAACAACGACTTGCACGATCGGAATCTGGGTCCACATTAGGCATCCCCTAAGGGTCCAAGGACCCAAGTAAAAGGGTTTCAGGGCCCAAATACTATAGTATTATTGGTATTTGGGCCCTAAATCCCCATTATTTGGGTCCTTGGACCCTTAGGGATCTTTTTTTGGAGGCTACACCTTAGCTACGGTTTTGGGTTTAGGGGTTTAGGGTTTAGGGTTTAGGGGTTTAGGGTTTAGGGTTCAAGGTTCAAGGTGGGGGTAGGGGTGTCAAGGGGAATTCTGGACTTTTTGAGTTATTCGCACCATCATGGACCACGTTCTGGCACCAACTTGGTGTCCCCAAGAATGTGGACCCTGATTTTGGAAGCTTCCCATGTAATTATTTGTACAGAAGGACCCTTCTTCTTCCTACAGCATGGGGCCCGCTAGTTAGAAAAAGACATATGTACAAATCACTTCACCCTAAACCGCTTGGGTAACCATGCTTGTCACAATTATGTCACAACTCTCTAGGTCATCCCTCGGGTGGTTTAGGGTTTAGGGGTTTAAGGTTTAGGGGTTTAAGGTTTAGGGGTTTAGGGCCTAGCGGTTCCATGGAACCCCTAGACCCTTCACCCTAAACCCTCCCATAATTCCCTTCAAAGGAATGCCCTAGACATTAGGACTTTATGAAGGGGGAACCTAGGTGGCGGGGATGCGCGGGGGGCAGTATTATTGGAGGCATGGTAGGGGAACCCATGAAATTCAAGCCCCTGACCTAAACCCCTAAATCCCTGAACCACCTATCCTTAAACCCTAACATAGGGCTTCATACTTAAATCCTCGTGTAGGGGAATAAAGACCTCAGCCCTAAATCCTAAATAGCAGCTTCCATTTTCTTTTCCATTATCCCTATAGAACCTTTATATGAAACCCTAAAGATCAAGGAATGGCAAGGCGGCCTTCGAACACGCTGCAGCCAACAATTTCCGAGAGGTTGCAAGCCTGTTGTCAGGTCGAGCTTTTCCCAGTCCTCCTCCTTACTATTCTTCCGACGAAGAGACCTTCTAGGAGGAGGTTAGGGTTTAAGGTTTAGAGTTTAGGGTTTAGAGAGTTTAGGGTTAGGCTTTAGGGTTTAAGGTTTAGAGTTTAGGGTTTAGGGGCAAAGGTTTAGAGTTTAAGGTTTAAGAGTTCATGGTTTAGGGTTGGTTCGACCTCCGAAGGCTCCTAACAGAGCAGACCTTTCAGGAATTCAAGAGTTTCCCTTAAACCTACATACTCCCCTTTGCTGGAGTCCTCCTCAGGAGGACTGTCTTTGGGGAGGCGGTCCTTGGCATCTATAAAAAGCTGATAGATGGAGGTCTCTCATGATGATGGCCCCCTTTTGTCGGCAGCCTTGATCCTAGGGTTTAGGGCTTAGGGTCCAGATGATGCTTGAGGACGACGCGAACTGCAATATGACTTGATTCCATGCTTGATGCCAGGTGCGTGCCGCATGGCACAGTGTAAAGAAAAGAGACAAGCTGTGGCTCAGGGTTGCCAGTGTTAAGGTTTAGGGTTTAGGATTTCGGGTTTGGGGTTTAGGGTTTAGGGCTTAGGGTTTAGGGTTTAGGGCGTATTTATGTGCGGTTGAAGGGCTTAGGGTTCAAGGGCTCAGGGTTACAGGTTAAGGGACTGTGGCCTCGGGCTTAAGATAAACATCGGGGCTCTAAGTCTATGAATAAATAACGACTGCCCCAAAGTCTGTAAATCTTGCCTACATTGGGCCGTTTGGGTCGCGAAGGAAAAACGACGTATAAACTCCCATATAAGCCCAGTTTCCATGTCATACGCCATAGACTTTTGCGTTGGACTGTCCTTCATTGGGGCAGAAACCCTCAACCCCAAAGTGCTTAAGGAGTTTAGACCCTAAACCCTAAGCGCTGAACAACCCCTTTAAGAAGTCTAGACTATAGCTTATATAGTAGGGATAGTGTTAAGTTTTAGCAAGTGGAAAACGATATGGAAATCAAATGGAAGCTACTAAGTGAGCGTGGGGGATGATCCTAGGGTTTCCGAGGCGCATGGGGCCTTCTTACTAGCCCAAAAGAGCATACTCCTTGCCCTGCAAAAGGGACCCCAATTTCTGGAGACACCAGTATCCATAGACTACAACATAGAGCAAGTTGCTTTTTCCATTGGTGTTTCCGGCTAATTCTCCATCATTGGGCATAATATTCCCTAACACCCCAAATGATCCCTACATAACCCGCCGGTTGAGGATTTTCTTTTTCTGGGCGGCCTTCCAAGGTTCTAGTCAGGTCGTAAGCATTCTAGCCTGGGTGATTCCCCCACCGAGACTGGTACAATACGCACTGGTGCTCGCAAACTTGAAGCAGGGGGGTTGCCAAGATTGAGGACTTCAATCTAGATGGCAATATGCCAGAATCCCCATGATGAGGATGCCAAAGGGAGACCCCTGAACCTTATAGGTCGCTCTATGACTCCAGAATCCGCTTAAAAGGGACTTCATAGCTCGCTTACCCTCGAGGGGTTTCTAAGCTTCTGCTTATGGCCATATTCTGGTTATAGCAGGTGAGCAGTATGGCAGTACAACCTTAGGGCCTCAGCCCACTTAAGCTCGAGAATGTGGATTTCAGCGCTACAAGTGTGGGGCATACCGACTAGGGGGTTGAGGGCTTCTAGACCTTCTAGACCCTAAGCCCTATCTGAACCTCAAAGGTATGTGAGCTATAGTCTTAAACTGCAGGTCATATAGGGGATTATATAGGGGAGTATGATAGGGTTACTAAGGGATACTAAGGGGGATACTAGGAGTTTAGATTATAGCTCACGTGGAGCAAAAGTCCCGAGCTTTGTATTGGTTTGAGGCAATTTTTGCTAGCTGGTTACTGTTGAGATCCAGGTAGACCCTACAGCCCCAAGCGCTAAACTCCAAGCCCGAACCACTCAACCCTAAACCCCTAAACCCCAAACCCCTAAAGCCAAAACCGTAAACCCCTAAACTCCAAGCCCGAAGCTCCTTCCGCCTTCCGAGGCACTATGACCTTTGCGGCCAGCAAGACTGAGGCAGGCTGAGGGTGCTTTGGGGTTTAGGGGTTTAGGGTTAAAGGGGCTTTAGGGGTTTAGGGTTTAGGCGCTTAGGGTTTAAGGGGCTTTAGGGTTTAGGGTTTTGGGTTTTTGGGGTTCTGAGTTTAAGGCTTAGTGCCGTCATAGGGTGGTCAGGGCTTAAGATTCAGGAGTCAGGGTTTAGGATTTTCCTACTGGTGCTAAGAACAGAATGAAGTACAGAAAGACAAAGCTTGCGGATGAATTCTTGAGGTTTGTACCAGGGCTATTATTGGACCCTAAACCCTAAACCCTGAACCCTAAACCCTAAAACCCTGAAACCCTAAAACCCTGAAACCCTAAAACCCTAAAATCCTA